TTCGAGCCCCGGCCGGACCAACACTCAAGGTCTTCAAGTAATTGAGAAGAATATGCTGCCTTTCTATATAACATCAAGAAATGGTTAGATATTCTAGTCTTCTCGGATAGGGACGAATAAATGGAGGTCCAGTCTCCTGCAGGGTTAGGGGTAAGAGACGTTAATTTCCCACGCACGAGATTACTGTGTTATGGATGTCCTCCCCTGGGGTGGGGTGGGTGGGCTGTGAAAGCCGTTAATTACGTTACCTTCATTAACTAAAGAATTTTGTATTGTACTGTATTGGTTACACTAATTCATCGTAATATTGGTTAAAGTGTCTGAACCGAGCTTAAGGTTGAAGTGATATCGATCAAAGGTGGGCTGGCTTTACTGTGTTGTGTTTCAGGCTCTGAAAGTAGCTTGAATAATAATTTATTATTATTATTACTTATATAGCGCAAAATACATGTGGATATGATCTAATGCGCTGAATGGGTAATACTGCCAACCAAGCCTGATAAAATGCCGTTGAGGAAATGTTTGATAGCTATAGTAACCTGCCATTTGGGATAAATAACGCTTCTGCGTGCTATGCAAGCAGCCAGCCAGCTCTGGTACTTTGAATTGTTACCTTTTATTCGACCCTCAATTCAGCTCTGTCTACTAACTTAAAGCTCTTCCATGCTTATAACTGCTTGAGTTATCTTACTCCACACAAAAGCAACTTCATCACACAACTTTCTCAGCTTTGTTTCACCTAAAGATAACTTAACGGTTCTAGAATTATTTGTCTGCAGACACAGGGCCTGACAAAGAACCACAGAAGGTAGGACGAAATTAACTTTCATGTGACTTAGCTTTTCCTTCATCCTATTACATCAACTTTTATCAAAAACCATATGTTGTGCTTGTATTTAATATTCCTTTCGGAATAACTATTAAGGGTAGCTCTCTGTGTTCCGCCGACGGAATGCAACGAAGAGTAGGAATGGCAATTAAATTGCTATTTAATTTTGACAAAGGTCTTTTGAAATTTAAAAGAGGTTTAGTTAAAATAGGTATAGAGAAATTTAAAAGAGGTATAGAGGCGCCCTATATATTTTTCCATGCAAGTTTAAGCTTAAGAATTCGATCAACTTATCCCCACGGCAAATCGATATATATAGAGGAAATTTTTATCCTCATGAAATAACAGATTAAATCCTCTTCGTAGAGTAATAAGCCAAGCGGCGAGAAATCCCCAGAGAGCAAGTCTAATCATGACAAGAAACCGGAAGTTGAGAACAAGCCGAAAGTAATAGCATCGGGTCAGAATATGGAACCTTCTGAGAAGCCAAGAGAAAATGACAAAGGGTCTGGTGAACAGGAACAAGAGAAAAAGAAAGAAAGATCAAAACTGAACATTGAGAAGGTAAAATGTAAATTTTGCAACTATCGCAGACTTAAATTGATCCATCACAAAATTGTAGCGCAGCAGGTTATATTTAACTTTTTTAGTTTTAAAACTTTCCTCCCTACAATTAACTTTGTTGATGAAGATGATGACGGAGATGGGGCCCAACCAGCGTCTGATTTCGGCTTTGACTTTTTCTCCATAATTTAGACTGAACACCACGGTACTTTAAAGCCAGCGGATAATTTCAACGCAGCAGAAGACGCCGAAACCTTGAAGAAGGCCATGAAAGGATTTGGTGAGAAAAATTGATAAAAAATAGATTCAGACGGTCCTGTCAGATCAATGCGTTTAGGCTAATCGCCTGCGCACAAAAATCGTCAATAGATTATGACTTCCGACAACTATTCCACTCACTACAGGTAGTGACGAGGATGCCATCATGGCGGTTCTTGGAGCGCGCACCAATCAACAACGACAAGAGATTGCTGCTAAATATCAGCAGGAGTACGACAAGGTAATCATTGATGAACATGTAACTTCTTACACAGAATGTATACACTTTATTGATAGACAGGAGAATGTAGAAACAAATCAGAGAGGAACGTTTCCTTGATTTATGATAAAACCTCCGAAAATGGAAAATCTTAAAAACTTATATATTGAACTACAGAAAGTTTGAAATTTTGTATAAGTTTGAAATTCCCTTATGTCCAACGTCCTCTTACCTTTTCTTTTTGTAATTATAACTCTTTACAGAACCTTGTTGATGATTTGAAATCAGAGCTTGGAGGAAAGTTTGAGGATGCCATAGTCGCTTTAATGTCGCCACCAAAATTATTTGACGCTAACTCGCTACATGACGCCATGTCGGTAAGCAAACCCAGAATTATGGTCTCCATAGTTATTGGGACGTTATGCATGTTACACGCAAAAATATTTTAATATGGATTCATCCATTTTGATCAGATTTTTCCAATTATACCTTTTAAATCAAAACCTTTTTTCTTCTACTTTTAGGGTCTGGGAACAGACGAGGCAGTTCTCATTGAGATTTTATGCTCGCGTAGCCCTGAGGTAAATGCTTTTAATCCTTCGTGTTGTGTAAGCGCAAATAGCTACGCTTTCCACATGAAAATGCGCGCTTGGATTTCTCTACATTTTGTGCTTAATAAAGACCTAACATGTCCATCCAGATCAGGTATTTTCAGTTCTTGCCTTAAACCTAATTTGCCGGCTTTACTTCTTACAGGAAATCCAAGAGATCAAATCCACTTTTAAAGAAGGTAGCTATGTTTGTTTTTGTCCTCTTAATTTGAAACCCTTCTGCAGAAGGTAATGTTCTTTAATGACTACATGACAAAAAAAAAATCACATATTTTCCTTTCAACAGTTCATGGAAAGAAACTTGTGGAGGAAATCAAGAGTGAAACTAGTGGGGATCTTCAATCCACTCTAATAAAATTAGTGGAGGTAAGATGCGTTCTTCTCTTTACTGAAAATACATCAGAGCTGTCGATTTTGCTTGCTTAACGTTCCCTCTGTATTTCACCTTTCTTTTTCTTTGATATCTACCTTATTTTTTCTACTTCATTTCACTTTTCACCTTTATATTGTTTTCTTCGTGTGCTGAGAGTGTTTTGCTTTTGTGGCCAAACGAAAAAGACACCGAAAAGCAATAAGCTATCACCAAGAATGTACATTATAAATCAATACCTTGAATATTACTTACCTTTTCACAGGGAGAACGTAGTACTTCAGAAAAGGTCGATGAAGATCTTGCTTATGAAGATGCCACAAAACTTTTGGAGGTTAGTATAAAACAATGTTAGTGTATAGGATAAACTCATTCGATAATCAGCAGTTTCTTGTTTACTGGTCTTTCCAGTTCCTACTGGAATTTTCAGTCTCTTGCTTTGTTATATCTCCTTTCTTCACTCAAACTATCAATTCTCATTGTATACAATGCAAGAGCATTAGTGAAAACAGAAAGTAACAATTATACACCATAAAAATGTAAACTTGGATTAAAAGGCTTTTTCTCAATACATTTTGTGTAGGTCCTTTAGGCTGGTGAAGACAAGTGGGGAACAAACGAATCTGTGTTTGTTAATATTCTTACAACAAGAAGTACCACGCAGTTACAAGCAACATTTGAAGCGTACAAGCATGTGAGTTTTTGAAAAAAATCCCTACAATGTACTTCCTTTTTATAGAGCGTTCTGAAGTTACGTTATATCCGTTAGAGAATGAATAGAACATTAAAATAATGTTACTATACATTTAAGGATTAAAAACATGGGCGTAATAGTTGAAAATCAACGAAGTGTTTGAGGTGTCGATGAACCGGTAGCCAAACATGCCTACGTCGAGAGGTTGATAGGCCAAATAGTTACTCCATATGTAATCACCCCTTGGTATACTGCCCCGATTAACAATACAGACAACGCGGTGGTCTGGAAAACGTGAGAACCGAGGGTGGGGACTAAGGCGAGCACCACGTTCCAAGCGCGGGAAATATGTCATGCTGGGGTAAGGTGGCTCCCCCCTCCCCGTTCAAGACATATTGGAGAGTTGAAGAAGTTGTTTTCTGCTCTCACGGATATCACACGCTCTTGATAATCTTCATTGCTATCCCTGTACTACAACTCAGTATCGTGTCTCCAGCTGACAGTTCCCGCCTAATGTCGATACAGACTACAACTAGTTACCAGCTGGGATGTGAAGACTTTGTGGCATCAGCAGCTTTTCATAAGCCAAGGGATGCTGTTTACTTATCTTCATTTCTTTGACATCAACCCTTCAGGTTGCCAAGTGTGATATTATGGATTCTGTGAACTCTGAGCTCACTGGAGATTTCCACGATAGCGTTGAAGCGATAGGTACAACAAAATAGATTTATTTCGAATATCTTTAAGATTCTACTTAACCTCCAAACCCCCCTACTCTTACGTTGATAACACCCCCCTCCAAGCCTGTATCTCTCACTGAGAGGCACAAACATGAAGGGGGGGGTTTCCTCACAAAGAAAAGTTCATCTTAACGCGAACTCTAATCATCTTTACACTTTGAATTCAAGCTAAAAAATTTTTAATTTTCACTTAATTGTGTAGTCTCATCTTCCAGCTGAGTGTAATCCAGAAAGGGAACGTTGTCATTTATTGTGACTGACGATTAAAAAAAAAAAAAAAAGAAAACCGGAAGTCATCACTACAGTTAATTTCTCACTGATAATAACTTCCGCTCAGCTCGTCGAAACGTCAATCACTGTCACCAATGACATTAATGATGAACGATGATCGACGATCAAACTACATGATCAACTGTTACTTCCGTGTTCAAACCACTTACGGAACTTTATTTTTCTCTTGGTTCGTCTTAGTTCGGTGTACTCGAAATCCTCCACTATTTTTCGCTGAAACGTTGGAAAAAGCAATCAGTGGCATAGGATCTGACAGCAAAGCAGTCACTCGTGTTGTGGTCTCAAGATCAGAGGTGATTTATTATGAAAACTATAATTATAACATRACCAAAGTAAAGCGCGCGCTCTGATTGGTCAATTTAGCGTCCCCCATTTGCCCATGGGTGTACGCTGCTGACGTGAGCAAATGCAAAGACTATTTTTCCGCGCGCGCTTGTTTTTTCTGGTCACGTAAGATTTGTTAAATAAAAGGGAACTCTTTAGCTACAATGTGTTAATGTTATGTTATAAAACAAATGGTAAACACCACAGTGTAAACTATTGAGTTATGGATGCACTTGGGAGGTTTGCTAAGTACTCAACAAGCTAGAGTCGCTCTCGGCTATCGCCTCGAGCGACTCTTACGCTTCTTTCGTGCTTAGCAACCTCCCGCGTGCATCCATAACTCAATAGTGTACGCTGTGGTGTTTACCATTTGTTAATTGTCTTATCCACCTGGGATATATTTCTTTGAAGATAGTGAAGGAAATTTGGCGTTTTCATCAGGATAAGGCCTTCTGGTTGATTTAACTTTCTATTATTGTCACCCCTTTTCTAGATAACTTAATATAACTGTAAGTACCTCAAAACATGTTAATTACTTCTTGAAAGAACAAAACGTTCTAGATATGGTCTAGCGAGAGTACTCTTTCTGTCAACCAAAACACTTTTAAGATAAAACTTGAAGACATACGAACAAACCGAGTGTTATGACAGGCTTTTAAACAAAGTCTAATTTTTTTTATTTATTTATAGCTGTTTATTCCCGGTTCATTCTCTTAGACATTTCCAAAAGCGGCTTGGCTTACTGTTATTATCAAAGCTTACTTTTTCTCGAACTCGCCCGAACAAGGAAAAAGGTGCATGGTGTTTCTACTTAAGTGCTATCATCATTAGGATACTGATAATTATTGCATTGAAGATTCGCTTATTTGTTTGTTCATTTTTTTGTTTACTTGTTTATGCAGGTTGATCTTGCCGAAATCAAAACAGAATATCAAAAGAAGACAGGAAAGAGTTTAAGGACAGCAGTAGAAAACGAACTAAAAGGAGACCTCGAAAAACTTTTGCTACAGATTGTCGGAGATTAGCATATCTGCAAAATGAATATAACCAGTGTTTGCTCTTGAGTAACAGTTACAAATAGTCGTAGATTTACGCCATACTGAATTGAGTTGAGAAACGGGTCTTGGCAAATTGAACCTCTGCACATATTTGAGAATCTTACAAAATTAGCGGTTTCGTGCCAAATATTAAAAAAACCAAGATGTGATGGTTTTTTATAAATGACTGAAAAGGGAAATTAATCATTTTTATCAACAAATTAGAAATGAGGTCTCACAACAAACTTTGAGAAAATGCACATCAAGTAAAGGAAACGCGAAATTTATTTAATAGTTTTTACCTCACAATTGAAAGAATTCTAATTATCCACACATGCACTTTCTATATTTAGTAACCCTGAATTTTTCAAGGATCTTGTATTGTTCATGCACAGACAAAGCTAAAGCTTCGTACACTTCGTATAAATCATCGCTGTCATTACAATTGTAACATGTAGTTGTAGTCTAAATTCCATACTTTCATTATTTAAATTTAGCGTCATAGAACAGGTTATATTTTACTTTTCATTGGAAAGTTTTCGAAAATATATAACGTTATATGAGCCTTGCAGTGGTCTTTGTCTTATCATTTCTCCCCTTTCAACTTTGTCCTATCGTATCTCCTTTGAGTAATGTAACCTTCAACGACACAGTATCTATATTCAAAACGTTTGCACTTGTTTAAAATTAAATTTTATTCCGAGTCACCCAGGTCCGATATTGGGAAACTATTTCCCCTTGTGGGACTGGTAATAGTCAAGCGCAATAAATGAAACGTTTCTCCTCAGTGAGGACTGGGAGATGCATATCCCTTCCCACCCCTCCCATACCCAAACCTATTGTAGTCCTTCAAAACAATGGTAAAGTGATTTGTTTGGACTCCTTCGAGCAACCCCGTGTGGCTGGGAAGAGCGTTACTCTGTTTGAATTCTCATTCACTTTTTCGTCTTGTTTGAGGATACTCTGCAATTGGTCCACCGAAATTTGCCTGGTGTGCATCAATTGAGAATCTTCTTCGTTATTTCCAATCACTGCAAAATTCCCCTTCACGTCTCCATTTTTCAAGTCAATACAACATCCAGCCGTCCATAAAGATACCGGAATAGCTATCGGAGGATCATTAGGAATAAGATAATTGTTTTTAATATTAGCCAACCATGGTTGTCTCTTGGGATCTCTTGGCCAAATCGGCCAATCAGGTTCGGAATGAACGAATGACGTACCAGTTAAAAGGTACAGCTTGCCACCATTTGCGATGCAGTCATTTCTTGCATAAGATCGAATCTTGTTTTCAAACTCAAACCACTCTCCCATGTTAAAATCTGGCCGTTGTGGAACAGCGTTTGTGTAGGTGAAAGTCGAAAGCCATCCCTCGTTATCTTTTCCAGTGCTCGATAAGGTAAGTGCGGGGACTAACTGACCTCGAATGTATGGTAAGCTTGGGTATATTGCATCACTTCCCTGATTTTTAATACCTATTTTTTGTGAGGATAAAAGAAGAAGTTAAATATTTGTGACGAGCGTGAGACAAGAAAGAAAAAAACCGGCCAGCCTTCATTGTTGCTTGCTCTTCCCAACAAACAAGAAAGGTAGACTAGCGTTGCGAGGACCATTTCGTTATTTGTTTTTTAGTTTCCATCAAGAAATGCGTGCACGAAAGGAAAGCAAGGAAATGAATTAAAAGGATGAGAGCCTAAGCCTCTTCTGATTTTGCGGTAGATCCTAACATTTTGAGGATTTCTGAAAAAGAAGAGTAATTTTAGTTGACGATTTTAAGCAAATACCTGGTGTTCTAGCCCACGAAGCTGGGCGCTCTCGGTCTTGGAAAGCAACATCATTGGCTGTTAAGGTGTAAGCTGAAAATACCGCCAGTCCCAAACTTTCGTCAAACATTGTTCCATATCGACTCTCGTGTCTTCCATTTGGCTTCTGACAGATATATCTAATATTGGAATTGTGAGAATTACTTCGTCGGAAACCTTCCGGTGGTTTCTTGCCTGCGAAGAATCTTCGGTAGCAATTTCGGTAAGGCAAATATGAGACTGGTTTTCGCGGGTACCCAGGATAACATTTCTTGACGTGTTTTCCTGTCTTATTCTTTATTCTCAGAGAACGGCAATCATCTAATTAATAAGCAAGAACGATACAAATAACTGTATACTGCATTTAATTCTCAACGATGCTTTAGGATCCTTTAGTGTTGTTGTTTATAACATAGTATAATTATAAACATTGCTTGCGTTCTCTCAACGCCCCAAATTGGTTGCTAGGTCGGCACTTGATGTGGTTCAGTGGCCATTTGATACAGCTATGGGTTTTTCCATCACTATGAAACACGATGGTTCTTTGACCAACCAAAGCGTGTGTAACAAGGCCCACTAGATTTATATGTCTCACGAAAATAGCTTTTCAACAAAAATATAGACTTTCTTATATTTATAAGTGTCACACCTCCATGACACTCGTGACAAAGTGAGGGAAATGTTATCTTACCTTTGTTTCGACTGCTATGCAAACTCTTAGCCAAAACAGAGGACGTTACCAGCAAGAGTGCGAAGAGCGGGGAAAAGGTCTTAGCAAATACAGCTCTCATTTTGAGTTGGAGTGATTATGGGACAAGGTTTTCCTTGCCTTGGATTTACTTATGGCGTGGCCATGACGCAGTTGATCGAATGGCTGGTTCGAACTCGTTAATGTCTTCCTTAATGACAGTTATTCAAAACATCCGATCCCATTGTTGAGTTAATGGAAGAAACAATGTGATCACCACATAACAGGTGAACAATGTTTGACTTTACTTTACGAGACTCAAAACGAACACCAACAATCGAAGGTATTATATCAACTTGGTAAATCAAATACACCAGTAGGTGAGTCAGAGAGTCACGGTCAAACACGAATCTACTTAAATGAACATTAAACAAACAAACAATGCCTGTTTTCGAACAACAACAAACATATGAAACATATGAGTGAACTGCGGTTATGAGACGTATATAAGAACGATCCTTCGCAGTAAAGCACTAGCTCAATTGGTAGAGCGCTGCACTAGTATCGCAGAGGTCAGTGGTTCGAATCCCGTACAGGCCTGAAATTTTTTTCAGGTCTGATTTCCACTATTGCTCAAATAGTGCTTTACTGCGAAGGATCGTTCTTATATACGTCTCATAACCGCAGTTCACTCATATGTTTCATATGTTTGTTGTTGTTCGAAAGAAAGAAGTTGTCAAAAATACAAGATACAATCATTCTAAACATTATATTGAAAAGGAAAACCTCATAAACATTTACTTTCCACGCACATAAACATACGCTTACTACTAAACTAGTTTCGTCTACCGACCTCTTCAGTTGTTTGCAATTGCGATGTATTGTTAAAAAATTCAAATCTCAGGTGAATTCATATAACATTGCACGAGGAATAACCTGGTATCTAGTTAAAGAAAGACGCTAAAGTAAAACTGATAAAACAATAACAGCG